CCCAGTAGATAGTTGTATGTCATAGTTGCACATCCTTCTAGTTGCTGTATGTGGGACACAGCCTCAGCATGGCCGGAGAAGCGGTGCGTCAGTGCACGCCCAGGATCCGAACCCGGGCCGCCAGCTGCGGAGCGCACGCACTTAACCGCTAAGCTACATGGCCGGCCCTCTAGTACTTTTCAGTACTATTTTCGACCACTGACAAGTTTTATAAAGAGAAGGGTGAGCCGTTTATATGTTTTCATTTTTTGTAAGCAAAAAATTCTAAATTCAAAGATGAGCTTATTAATTTAGGCCAAGAAACTTGATTATTATAGCATCTGTGGGTCTTTAAAATACCTTTGAAAAACAAAAAGTTAGACATTTCTATATCTCACAGATTCTATGATTAGTTTTCAATTTTTCAAGTTCACAAAAATGATTTTCCTTTAGGCCACATAAAACACTTGCCTTCTGAGCTGAGACTGACCAAAATAAAACTCAGACTCTTAAAAGAATTTTTTGCAGAAAATATAAGATTCCTTATGTATTTCTAGTTGAAGTGCAACTACAAAGGATCCCCTCAAGGTCATAGTTAACATATATTTTGCTTAATGACATTTCATTTATTTCTGCCTACATAAATACCTTAGATGAAACTACATACATAAAAACTTTAAAACATTACATAAAGCAGACACAATCTACTATGCAAAATTTGAAGACAATGTATCCTATGAAGAAGGTAATCTTTACAAATTCTCATAAAGCATAAAAGTCTATCTTTTTACAGATAGGCTTTTTGTCCCCCAATTTGTTTTATTGTGGTAAAATACAAATAACATAAAATTTACCATCTTAACCATTTTAAGTGTATAGTTCAGAAGTATTAAATACATTTATAATGTTGTGTCACCATCCATCTCCAGAACTCTTTTCATCTTATAAAACTGAAACTCTATACCATTAAACAAGAACTCTCCATTTCTTCCTTCCCCCTAGCCCCTAGAAACCACCATTCTACTTTCTGTCACTATGATTTTGACTACTCTAAATACTTCATATAAATGGAATCGTACAGTTATTTGTATTTTGGGGACTGGCTTATTTCGCTTACAGATAAATTTTTAATAAATCTCAAGTATTGTTTATAATTATAACAGGTTTTCCTTTTAGCAGTAATTTTTAGTTTTAGATGGCTCTGCAACAGCACTGATTAATATAACTACACTAGGTAAAGTGACTTCCAGAATATACTGTGACATTATTAAAACACGGCAAACACAGACTGGGAAATTAGTTTAAGGTCAGTCTTATTTCTTCCAATGAAATTATCTCTCTCCCCTCTGGCTTCCTGGAAGACACCTCAGTAAAGTGGAAGATAAGCTTTGGAGTCAAGCATTCCAGCTCATCATTACATGGGACCTTGGACAAGGAAAATAATCTTCTTCAGCCTCTCCTCTTATGTAAAATGGGAAAATAATAACCACCACAAAGGGATGTTGTCAAGGGCAATGAGATAAATAAATTAAGTCTCATCACATCAAAAATGCTCAATAGATAGTAGCTCCCACTCACCAAGCCTTTTTTGTTTTTTTGCTGAGGAAGATTCACCCTGAGCTAACATCTGTTGCCAATCTTCCTCTCTTTTTGCTTGAGGAAGATTCACCCTGAGCTAACATCCATGCCAATCTTCCTCTATTTTGTAGGTGGGTCGCCACACAGCATGGCTGTCGACGAGTGATGCAGGTCCATGACCAGGAACTGAACCCGGGCCGCCAAAGCAGAGCACACCGAACTTGACCACTAGGCCACAGGGCCGGCCTCTCATCAAGCCTTTTTGATTCTTCTCTAAAATGTTGTTAACTATTTGACAATGATCTTTCCACAAACCCTGTCTCTGTGAACAGAAACAGTTCATCATAAATTTCTAATCAATGATGCTTATACATATTCTGCTTTCAGTACTGTAAGAGTCTGGATCAGCAGAAACCACCTTCTGACAGTTTAGATAATGCCAAGTGACAGAAAATAGGGCTGTTATAACACAAACTAGGAGAAATCTTGGTAGGCAGTTACTCTTGCTCTTCAATTGCTATAAGAGAAAATAATCAATTTAGATCCATTGATCTAAAACTAAAATCTTTTTTTCCTGAGCACATGTCCAACCAAGTTTAATTAGTTTATATTCAAAAATTCAAAAGGAAAGTTAAATTTTTTAAATTTAGGGTACATTTCACAATAAATTCATGTGGGAAGTTTTACTAAGAAGCTGCATTCCTGAATACTAGATGTCCCATGATTTTCTACTTTTCTAGGTGTGACTTACCTATAAGAGATTTGCCTTCAAACTTCTGCAGGCTAAAATAATCTCTGCCATACTCAAAATAAGAATTTTGATCAATTACTGTCATGAGCTACAGTGCATGAAAGTGCTTTTAAGAGAAATCCTTCTTTTACCTACTGATACTCCTTCAAACATACTTCTACGACAGAGGTAGGGTAAGAACCATGCTGAAAAAGGTCTTGGTTAGCCTTTTAAGTTCCATAAAAACATTTCGAACTTAACATCTGCTAGTTTGCTCTTGACCTGCCCTTAATCAGAAACATAGAGCACCTAAACATTTCAAATTCTTCCCAGAGAATGCAACCTGTTAGATCTAATTTTTTATAAGGTTTCCTGATGTGACATGTAGTCCTTCCATTCTTCTGCATTCTAGATTTTATCCTCATATTAAGCTGGATCATCAGAAAAATACACACATATAATCTAGGTTGCCAGACAGTGTTAACTACTTATTTTAAATAAGTTGCACCTTGGTGCCATTTCCTTGGCTTTTATCCAGAATCATATTAAGAGACAATGTTTTGAAACCTAATACTGTATGTGATGTTGACAACATTCTCTACTGCATTTCTCTGTGCCCTATGTAATAAAGCTCTAAGTGAAAAAAATATTTTTAAAGAATAATGTTCCACTTAGAAGAAAACAGTATAGCTTCCAGTTATGGACAAAAAAGTCCTGGAACTAAATATATCTCCACTTTTTTTTTGGCTTTGCCTCAGAACCAAATTCACTGCTCAATGTTAGTATTACTGTATGAGACCTTAGAGACTACATATCTGTGATCTATTATTCCCACTATGGAAATGTATAGTTTCCCTATTCTGATTTTATTTACTAGAATATTTCTATTTATTTATTTATGTTTTCATTATGTATTATAAGCCACATTAAATTATATGTGGTAAGAACTTTTTAAAAAATTCATTTCTGTTCCTACCCAGTATGAACTCACTGCCAATTTCTTCACTAATGAAAAAGACATATTTACAATTTTACCTAAGCTGGATTGTCTTTCCTTTTCCTCATTATTCAAACTCTATCCACTTTGCAAGGACCAATTTAAGTCTCTCTACTTCTTCACATCTTCACTGACTACTTCTATATCACTGACATTTGAACATTTATATCATTTAGTCTGTGCCACGTAGTTTAACATTTAAATATATATCTTATAATGTTCAATGATTTTATAGTTTATTATCATTATTCTGACAGATTACAAATTATTTGAGATAGTTCCTTTGTCCTAGGACTTGTGTCAAGCAAGGACTAAAAAAGTACTCAAATACTTGATAGTGACAGCTATCACTGTCACTGTGATGAAGACTCAAAGGATTACAACGTATAGATATACATGTATAGATGACGACCTTGCTGTGGAGATAGGACACTTAAGAAAAAAGACAATGGGCCGGCTCTGTGGCTTGGCGGTTGGGTGCGCGCGCTCTGATGCTGGCGGCCCGGGTTCGGATCCCGGGGGCGCCTGGA